TGAGCACTCATCCTATTGAAGGCAATAGGGGTGGAGGGCACTCTCCAGTCACTTATTCAGGTGCCTAATTTTGGGCACCTAAGTGTGACAGCTTTGGCCTTATCTTTTCTGCCTCTGTTTCCCCAATTATAATTTTGGGATAATAATATTGTAACCCCCCTTTCTTCCCTGGGTTACTCAGGAGTAGGCAACACTCACCTGTGTGCCTGGCCGCCTGATGTTGTTGACATTAAGGGAGATCCAGGGTGATGTTGAATAAGTGGGAATCTTCTATCCACCCCTCTGCTGCAGTCCCTTTACTCCTAAAGGAATTTAAAATTGGTGGTGCCTCCACCTGGCTGGCCCCTGTACATACTCAATGGCGTGCCTTGGGAACCTCCAGGAATTAACTTCAGATAGTAATAATAATAATAACCTGTGGCATGGGTCTAACTCAAATACCAATTATAAATAATATACATCCAATATACTTAAATTAGAGCTGACACTCATTTACTTAAAAACTTAAAGAAACAGGATATAACAGACTAAGATTAAATGTCATTACTAATTTAAATCCACAGGAGCAATTGAATAAAATCAATTAACAAATATACTATACAGTAATAAATGAAACATGTAACTGGCATTTACACTGCCACCATTCACCCCACCCCAGAGTGTACACTCCTCTGGATTTCGGAGTCCTAGGCACTTACTTGTGTGGGCGCGCTGGAAGATCTGCAGCTGGAGACAGCACTATGTTGGTTCTGTGTATCAGTCCAGACAAGACAAAAAAACTACACAACCCCTCTGAAATTCGAGTTGGCTCCACCAAATGTCAGTAGCTCTGGGTCCTGGTTCGGTAGGAAGATCACTCTGCCTCTCCTCAGACTCAGTCTCTCTACTGTGCCCCTTCCCTTGCAAGTACTTTCCAAACAAGAGGGGGGATTACTCACAGCTCCTTCACTGCAGGCCCACCTCAGTCAGCTCTAGGCACAGCAACAGTCTCTGCTCTGACTCCAGTGAAGCCACCAACAGCCTTGAAGCTCCCTGCTCAACCAAAGCCCTTGTAGGCTCTCAGCAGCAGCTCCTGGTATGGACAGAGTTCCACAGCAGCTATCTCACTCCTCTTCCCAAAATGAAGTCCACCACCTGCTCTCCCTGCACGAGGAAGTCTCCCACCACCTTTCCTCAAGGCATCATGGGAGTTGTAGTTTCTAAGGCTAGATTGCAGCACACAGGCTTTTCCCCTGGAACACGCCCAATAAAGTTCGGAGGCCCCTCTAGTAAAGGGTGCCTACATACTTTTCTACATCAAAAGGGTATTGTGATGATTAATCAGTTAGCATTTGCAAAGTTGTGTCATTGCCAGAGTAAAGCCAAATGCACACACAACCCTCCAACAGATATGGAGCCTAGTACCTCCAAGACCCCGGTTTCTTTGCAGAATCACACCTTACTTTTTTTTTTTTCAAAGTTGATACCTTTGCTTACAAGTAAGTGTGGTGACCCAAAGAACAATCCCTTTTATCATATAGAATGAATGAGTTAAATTTGGCAGTTCCCCAAAAAGTCATCTGACTAAGCCTCCCTCAAAATCTTCTGACTGGCACTGTTCTTAATGGTGTGGTGATGGTGACCAGGAGTTTATCATGTTTGGTAGGGCAAAAAATGGTTTCACAGAATTATCCAATACACAAGGTGATCCAGACTAAAGGTGTCTGAAATGTTTGACTTGCTGCTTGATCTGTCTTTTACTTTAATGTAAAAATTACTTTGTTTAAGCCTCAATTTCTTGCTTCCCATTTGAATGAATTATTATTTCTGAGAGATTAGTCAGTTCTACTAAGGCTGCACAGGGATTTATTACGACTCGTACTTCAGTATTTATATAACTCCTGTTTCAGCAAAGCAGGCACAGCTAGCAGAATAGAAAATGGGATCATCCATCCTTTTTTGAAGGATCAAATAAGATGATACATTTTTAAGAGAACACGTGAAGACCATTTGGTCTGTGAAATGACAATCCCTTCTTACGTATTTATTTCTGAAAATCTTATTTGCAGCATTTTTAATAACTTCCAGTGTCTTATATAGCCTCCTCAGTCTTACCTTAATATGATCTCTTTTATAGTTCTTTCTATGAAGACATGTACTATAATGGTAGCTTTGATCTTGTTGTATTCCATGTATCCTGGTTTTTATGTTGGGTCACTGATAAAACAACAAAGAAATCATGTGAAATAAATAAATACAAAAGCTTGGAGATACATATCCAGCATTAAGGCCCAGATTTTGCAAGGATTATACTCAAGTTGAGCAGTATCTTCCTCTCCCAGTAGTTCCACTGAAATCAATTTAATCAATGGGACTATTTGGGGAGTACAGTACTGCTGACTGGGTGAAATTATGGTCCTATTGAAGTCAATGGAAGTTTTGCTGATGAGTTCAATAGAACCAGGATTTCACTCAATATAAGTAAAGCTGTCAGAATCTGAGCCTATAGCATTTGCTAGAAAAAGAGTTGTTTCCCCGTTTTATTGATCTGCTTAAGAGATAAGATATTTAGTCAGCCCCTTCTCATCATTATAGACTCATGCTACATCAGGGGTTCTCAAACTGGGGGTCGGGACCCCTCAGGGGGTCACAAGGTTATTACATGGGGGGTCGTGTGCTGTCAACCTCCACCCCAAACCCTGCTTTGCATCCAGCATTTATAATGGTGTTAAATATATTTAAAAGTGTTTTTAATTATAAGGGGGGTCACACTCAGAGGCTTGCTATGTGAAAGGGGTCACCAGTACTGAAGTTTGAGAACCACTGTGCTACATGTTTTGTTTTACAAATCTAGGATAGAATTATTATGGGCTGGGATTGGTAAATAGCATTCACGGGTCTGTGGTACATAAAGAACTGAGTACCAACACTTCCTCTTGGCATCAATTATAGTTGTGGATGCTCTTTGAAAATTAGGCCCTTGATATTTTTTTAAAAAAGGAAATTTTAACACATTTAAGCATTTTGTATGATAATAAAAAAAGTGCAGTCATGTTACAACATAGAACTCCTTTATCTCTAGGAGTATTTTCACGTGCTGCCAAAAAGGAGATCCAGATTGAAGGAGCTCCATTGAGAAGGTTACTTCATAGGCTGGTTTAGACTGAGCTCTTTGTATAGGACCATGGAGAAGGATGGTTATGGATTCTCTTACTAATTGCTTCAGAGGAGGCTGTTCAACTGTATTCCTAGCCATGAGTGAAATGAACAGACAGCCACTGTGGCAGAAAAAAAATGGATAATAAGCCATAAAAAATGGCAGGCCAGGATAGGTGAAGATTGTCCATGGTCCTTCAGCCTTATCTTCTATTACTAGTCACTAATGGAGGACACAGAGGCACCTTAAATATGAGATATGTCATTATCAGGGCAAAGGAAGGCAACTACTCTCCCCTATCCTCTCTGCTATTGAAACAAAGAATAAGTGTTTTTTTGACAAATATATTAAGAAAATATATAATATCTATTGTTGTCACTCTCTTTCCTCAGTTCTGCAGACTAATATGAAAGGGTAGACCTGCTTGACATACACTCTGGTTTGGTGGGAGAAAATGAGAAGGGGACAATCCGGGAACAAAAAATAAAAAAATGCTGCCTCATCTCAATTATACTGAAAAATGTCATTTACTGAAAATTCTCTATGGGAGAAGAGAAGAGGATGTTTTTCAGGGGAATGTTTGACTAGTAAATTGGGAGTGTATTTTGCTTTAAAGTCCTGACTGTGAAGAAAGCCAAATGGTAGGGTTACCTATTCCACTGTAATGAACTATGTTAAGCAGATACAGAACGTGTTAATAATAATTTACAGTAAGAAATAAAGGGGAGGTGTGTCTTATAATATATATATGAAATGAGAATTAAGAAGATGTGTGTTTATATATAAAATGTTATCTTAAATCTTAATTTTATATATATATTTATATATATATATATATATATATATAAAAAAATATGTTCTTAATTGTCACTTTATATAACACACACATACACACAAATCTATTATAGATATATAATGTTGTCTTAATTCTTGGGGTATGTGTGTGTATAATGTCTTAATTCTCAGTGTGTATATATACACCTCTACCTCGATATAACGTGACCCGATATAACACAAATTCGGATATAATGCGGTAAAGTAGTGCTCCGGGGGGGCAGGGCTGCACACTCCGGCGGATCAAAGCAAGTTCGATATAATGCGGTTTCACCTATAATGCGGTAAGATTTTTGGGCTCTTGAGGACAGCGTTATATCGGGGTAGAGGTGTGTGTGTGTGTGTGTATATATATAAACACACACACACACTTACCCATTATAGGTATATAATGTATTCTTAATTCTCAGTTATATGTATAAGTCCCCCTTTTACTTCTTATTATATATTATTGACCTGTTTTGTATTATATCTATAGAATACTATAGTATGATAATAGTAGCAGGATTAACAAATGCATTATGTTACCATCTCATTCCCATTATACATGAAAATTGGGAGAAGAGTGTGATGGTAAATGGGCTCTTGAAAAATCCAGTAATAAGTTTCAGCTTGTTGGTTTCCATACGCTTAGAATGCTGGCATGGCACAAGTATCCCATGCCTGTTACATTTAAAATGAGATAATAAACTGCAGTCAACCATGTAGGCATTATGAAATATTATAATTATAGTTTCATATAAATATGTATGTGTTTAGATGAAAAAGCAGGTAATTAGTGCCATTTGTTTGTCAAATGCTGTACATTAGAATTTATCATCTGTTTGTTTGCAAGAGCCTCTGTAGTGTACAAGAACCTTTTTGCAGTTATATTTGGGAGATTGTAGCAACATTTCATGGACAAAATCTGCCTTTATTTCAGCACAGTTCTCTCTTTCCAGAGAAGTTGGCTTTAAGCTCACATCCAACCCTTTTGACTTATCCACTCACTTGATTTAGACCTCATTGTTATCTATTACTTCCTTTACAGAGGTTATTATATAGTAATTGTGCCTTTGAAGAAGTCTCATGGAAAGTTTATCAAACCATGGGAAAGTCCGGATGAAATGGAATTAGATGAGGTACAGTATTTCTATTTTGACTGTTTCTGTTTCAGTAATTAAAATATTTTAATGATTGCATGCCACTAATGCACTGATTTCAGCGAGTTTAGTTGTCTGGATATTTTATCTTTGGATTGTGTTACCCTCTGGGGGCAGAAAAAAAGATCTAATTACTTAAATTAGAAGACATTAAAGACATTAAGTTTCAATAAAGCACACAAACTGTCTGATCTTTGTTGGCATTAATATTTTATTCTTTGCCTATTGTAAAGCATAAAGCAAAAGTGCATAAGGTGAAATGAGTTGTCAGCAAAAGCTTAATCACCATTGATATGAACTGCAGTAAAGGTCTGGTTCATTAGTGGGCTGTTTGCTAAGGATGTAACAAATGCTAAATTGCAATTTGCACTGCTGTTTAACATTTGACTTACCTTGTGGTCTTTTTACCTGTTTCTCACATACTGTAATATTGATGATTAGGAAATGTTTGCAGTATTCTCTATTCTTGTGGTACTCAGTATTCCGAAATTAAAAACCACATAGGAGAAAACAACCGTGTGTCACCAATTAGCAATATAAGCGCCATACTCCAAAAAACGGAGTATAGTGGCTTCATTTCAGAAAAACAACAACGAAATACTTTATCTCTTTTGAGCTAGTATTACTTCTAGCCAGCCTAGTGTAGATTCCTTCTATGTCTGCATTGAACTTAATCTAATCTGTCCTCATTTTCCCTGTCTGTAAACTGGGGGTAGTGATCCTGACCACCTTTGTGAAGTGCTTTGGGATCTCTAGATGAAAAGCACCGTACGAGAGTGAGGTATCATTATGATTATTATTTTTATATCTGTCTAGGGTTTGAGGCCACACTCATTGGCGTTGTAATTGGTACAGATAATATCCCCACATCTTCATGACAGAGACTCTCCAATTTGGACTTAATCAAAGACCACTAAAGTCATTTGGAGTCTTTCCATTGAATTCAGCAGGCTTTGGATCAAGCTCTATATACTTTCCCCCTTTCCTTTAATCATGGTAAAGAGTATTCTGTGATGGAGTTGCCATTGCTTCTCCATAAAACAGCCAACAGGAAGTGCTCATTCAGCAAGTGGTCACCACACTTTTTCCCTACCCCCACTCCCCAAATATGTTTTCTGTGACCTGAACTCCAAGGGGCAAGGAAAACAAGAGGTAATTCCTCATTCTGGGCATCTATTGTAGGTCAATTTAGGAAAGTGTTTTCAATAACCTTGTCCAATAATTGGGAGTTTTTAATTTCTTCAGTGACCAGAAACGAAAATTATTTGCAACAGCAGGAAAATAGTAATTCTTCATCAGAATAATGCAAAAGGCTTAGTTGTTGTTACTAAGTTATTCAAAGGAAGACATGGTTGCTCCTGAGTAAACAATTAAAGCCTGAAATACTCTTCATTATTTTAAATTAATGGAGATATCCTATCTCCTAGAACTGGAAGGGACCTTGAAAGGTCATTGAGTCCAGCCCCCTGCCTACACTAGCAGGACCAAGTGCTGATTTTCCCCAGATCCCTAAGTGGTCCCCTCAAGGATTGAACTCACAACCCTGGGTTTAGCAGACCAATGCTCAAACCACTGAGCTATCCCTCTGCCCCCCACCCTTTTAATCGGTTTTTAACCAGTTTACAGCATTGTCTTCTTTCTGTTTTGACGAGAATCGGATTCAAAACACAGAGACCACTTGCTTGAACCATTAATGTCTTTCCTTTAAAAGAGCTGGTTGTAAAGGCTATCAGCATCTTGATGCAGTCCTAGATGACATAAAAAATAGTTAAACAATAAAATTTCCCTGGAAAGACCCATTCAGTAATGGAACATTGATTTACTATTACTGTCCAATTTTAACCTCCAAAATCCACAGTCAGATTCAGCAACAACTGATAAGTGTGGGTGCAGGATGACATTGAACTTTGTTGCAATAAAATTCTACGGGTCTGTGCTGCTGATTCCCATAACAAAGGGTCATTTTAATCATTCTGCAAGTTGTGGTGCATTAATCTGTATAATAGTTTGATAAAGAACATTTATTAATTCAGAAATATTTGGGTCAGGATGGGCTGTTTCCTACTTTTTTACTGATATAATTGAGACCACATTGTAGAATTAATGGTGGAAGAAATAAGATATGCATTGACTGGAAAATGAAAATTATTTCTGTTAAAGAACTAAAGCCCTTGATATATCTTTTACAATTGCCTTCAATATATGCAGTAACTCTTGAGAAGGGGGAGGAAAATCAAAAGCTGGCATTGGCTGCTCTTCATGCTTTCTCGTTCAATTTCTGATGCTTAAAGGGTTTTTTTCCCCTACCTGGGGAAATAAGAACTTTATATTGTTGTTATGTAGTCTTTCCCTGACCAACCTGAGTAAGCAGTGACACAAATAAAGGGTAAAATGCACCTATGAGAAGAAAACTCACCAAACCGCTAAACCAAACTACTAACATATGATTAGGTCTTTATGGAGGTGAGCTAGGGGAATTTCTGGGTTTTGTCTACTACATCCTCAGATATCTAGGTTTGGGACATATTGCACAGGGAGTTACTCAATATGCTAGACACCCCCAAATGCTTTACAGAAATAGGTTAGCAAAAGAGACCTCAGTAGCAGGTGGTTTTGGAGCAGTAAATCCATAATCTGCCAGTCAAGAAGACTGTATCCACACTTATCTAAGTGTTCTGAACCTACAAGGTGTCATGCACCCTCAGCTCTGATTGAAGTCAGAGGTAGTGGAGGGTGAAAAGCAAGGGTGCAAGACAAGGCCACTAGTTAGACAGATATTCTGAGTTTGAAAGGTACCAGGGAGAAAAAATGTACTCGAAACTGGGGTTGAAATTCAGGCTCCATTGAAGTTATTGGGTGTTTTGCCATTGACTTCAACTGGACCAGAATTTCACCCTGGGTTCTTGCAGTTGATTCAAGCAGAGTAAACTATTATTTTGCTTGGTCAGAAATCATGACTTGTTTGCTAGTTTGTAGCCATTAGATTTTGGAAAATGCATATAGTCATAAAGACATTTAGTTATTATGAGACTTGGTGACACAGAGTAAATATGTCATCTTTGTAAAAGCAATATGAATGGCAGATGTTATGATTTGGATTTAAATACACCTCTACCCCGATATAATGCGACCCGATATAACATGAATTCTGATATAACGTGGTAAAGCAGTGCTCCGGGGGGAGGGTCTGCGCACTCTGGCAGATTAAAGCAAGTTTGATATAACGCAGCTTCAACGCGGTAAGATTTTTTGGCTTCCGAGGACAGCGTTATATCGAGGTAGAGGTGTATTATTTAGGAGAATTTTTGTTGTTGCGAGGAATAACGAAAAAACAACAACCCAGAAATAGATGTTAAGTCTTAAATGAATTCAAAGCTTTTCAACCTAGTCCTGTTATAAAGTATCACTGGGGATAAGTGTGATGTTAATGACATATGGCAACGACATCACCTATATCTGAAATATGAATGAAAGCAAGGGTGCACCTGGGGTCTATTCAGTCATGTGGAATAGATTTTGTAAACCAGATTTCCATTCACACACAGAGTTAAGTTTAGCTGGCCATGCACCAATTTGCAATGGTTTATGAAAGGTCTAAAACCCAAATTATAATTATAGTATGAACTGGAAAGATGGGGAACAAAAAAATTGGCTGGGATTTTCAAAGGTGGTGTGGTAGAAGGAGTAAGGTGAGCTAATGCCATTGAATTCCAGTGGAGATCAGTCCCCTGTGACTCCTTTGAAAATCTCACTCTTCATCTTAAAGGGTGGCTGGAAGCATATACTTCCCTTTGTATAAATATACTGATGTCTGTGGACCATCAGTCAGTAAAAACTCCCTACCCTCCCAAATACCCGAAGGAGCTGGACCTGAGGTTAGGAGGCAGGCAAATGGAACTGACTGTGGAGAGGTGGATGTGTATATATTGAAGCCAGTTGCCAAGCTGCCTTCAACTTCCCCTGCCCGCCTGGTATATAACCAAGCTTTCTCTCAGTTGTCTTTTTCATCCACTGCTGGGAGTGACTTTATCCTGGTTTACCCCTCCCCAGCCCCCTCTCGCCCATGAAACTCCGCTCTGAGATGAAGCTAGGAAGGGAGAGAGAAATAACAGAGTGTTCCCAGCAGCTGATGAAAGCATCTCTGGGAGCAGAGCTGTGGAAAGGCTGGCCTCGGGGGAGTGATAGAAAGCTCAGCAGGCTGGCATCACTGCATGTACATATTTTTGGGGGTGAATGCTTCTTAGAATCCCACTAGCAGATGCCTTGGGGGCATATGGCATCACGAAAGAATACCTCCCTCAGCAGATCTGCTCTGAGCTGCTGCTGTTAGAAGCAACAGCAGCCAGGGCTAATGTTCAGGCAGCCTCTGCTCCCCTCTCCTGTTGCTGCCACTGACTCTACCTAGTACTGGCACATGTGAAGCAATCAGAAGGGTTTTTTTTTTTTCTTAAAAAGGGAGAGTGGCCCTCAAAAACAACTAGATAAAAGCACCATTAATAGGCCAAGATTGGTCTATTACCCACTGAGGTCCTCACTTTTACACAAGTGAGGGTCACCTGGAAATTATTCTGGATGCATGTTAAATAAAAGATAATGTGCAAAAATCACAGTTGTTTCTAAGATTACAGTACAACAGTGTCATTTTACAGCAATGTCCTTTTCAAGGATCCAAACACCTTCAAATACTTGGGAAGTTCATTTTCAGATCGAGGGGTCCATTACACTAGTTTTTATGCTGGTGTAACTCTACTGAAATCAATAAAATTACACCAATATAAAGCTTGTGCAACACGATGGGGAATCAGGCCTTGTGTCTGAACTCCATATCTGGTCGCTATACTGATCTTTGTAACGGAGCAGAGCAAAGCCCAGTATCCAAACACCCCCAACCTTTAAGGAAGTTTGTATCTAAATTTTGCATCTTGGGCCCATTTCTAATTTTAACCTGTTTGAGATTCAAAATTTTAATGAACTGGCATGTTCAGCTAATCAGTGTTAACAAACTTTGTTTTAGTAGTGAGTTAAGTTTAAGTCATATCCCAGAGAAAGGAGTGGTTGCTTGTTTTGTGTGCTTTTGGATTGTTTGATGCATAATTAGGAAATACTTGTTCCATTTTGGGGATGGCAAAGAGAAATGCCATCTAAGTTGCAGTGTAATACTGAAAAAGTGAGTTCAGCTAGAGCTTCCCCGACTAAGCATATTTTTAAAATGAAAATATATACTAGAAATTATATTTTAATCTCTTTGCTACTGATCTGTAACTTTCCCCTGGAGACTTGCCTCCTACACTTAACAAAGTAGTGAAAACTTACCCATTTTGTTCGTTTTGTCTGGGAGCAGAAGAACTCAAAATAACTGTGTGACCTTGGAAGAATATAAGGTTGGAGACTGAGTCTATTGCTTTTACTTTAAAATAGGACAATGAATAAGTTTTATGGGTGAAAAATGAGGGAACACTCTTAGCAGTCATCACTTGTCAAGCAGGAAAACTTCAGGCTATTTTTAAATGAGTCAAATTAGTATTTGCTTAATGTCAGTATATCCAATGTGATAAAAGATATTGAATAAGCATTTGGCCATTTAAATAAGTAATTAATCAGTGGCTTTACCAGGTCGGCTTTATTTCATTTATTAGTTAACATACAAACATGAGCTAGTATTTAATCTTACTGCCAAATACCCTGATGTATATTTTGGCTTTGTTCATCAGAGCAAATATTTAATGGGGTAAAGGAAGTTTACATTTTGAAAGGCAGGCTACACAGTTTATGTCTCCGTTGAGTATGTTAAGTTCTGGTGCTTAACTGTTATGATGGAAAGTGGTCTGGGTGTCAGGACTCCAGGGTTCAGTTCCTGGCTTTTCCATTGAAGTGCTGTGTGACCTTGAACAAGTTGTTTAAAGGTTGATTTTAGTGATGATGAGCATCTGAAACTTTTATTGACGTCAGCTGGAATTGTGGGTGATAAGTGCATCAAGAAACTGTGCCTTTAAGCTTTTCTGCCTGCCTTTACTCATCTGTAAAATGAATTTAATTTTACCTCCCTCACTGTGTGTGTGTATTTGAGATTCATTATTTGTAAAGTTCTTGGAGAGCCTCAGATGAAAGCTGTTATAGAAATCCAATGGACTATTTTGTGAATATGGATGATGATGTTGTTTGTTTGTATTCTAAACTCTTCGTAATACTGAATGGTGCTAGAAAGATAGTGTTTGCATTTTAGAAAGTCCCCCTGAAAAATTAAACCTAGGTAATGAAACCTGAGTTTCACAGGCTGGGAATTTTTCCCCCTCAATTTTGTATTGTTTTCAATTTCCTTCCTCGGAGGGAAGTTCATTTGCTTTATTGGGATTCACTGTATTAAGTTAGAGGTCACAGTGTGGCTGCTGCATACATATAAAAAAATATTATGCAACAAATTGTCTTTTTTTCAGAGAAAAGGTGTAATGCATTGTAGAAATTAATTCTGTAGGGTTTTATTAGCATGGACAATGATATCAGGCACTGAAAATTGATCTAGTTGACCCATGTTTATAATCTGAGCAGTGCAATTGCAATTTAGTATCTTATCTTAACAGGAAAGGCCAAAAATTTAAGGATCGCAAGAACTGAGATTTAGTGATACTGACAAGCACCATGAAATGAGCATAAATGGTATTTTGATAGTTCCTGGCCCTGAATTAAGTTTTCCCATTAAACTGTCAATAAGTTACATTAATGCTTACAGTTATCTTTCTGTTCTCTCTCTCTCTCTCTCCTTCCCCCCCCCCCCCCCCCCCCGTTACTTAAGGAGATAGTTAGGAAACGCAGAAGCATTCGTTTTGGGAGAGAAGTTGAATTAAAGCCATACATTGCAGCTCACTTTGAAGTTCTTCCTACTGAGTTCACCCTGGGGGATAAAAAGCAGTATGGTGGCTTTGAGAATAAGCAACTCCAAAGCGGTCAAGAATATGTCTTCTTTGTTTTGGCTGTAATGGAGCACTCTGAATCTGTAAGTGGGCTGCATGTTTTTGCTGCAGTTGTTTTTATTCCTAAGTTTACCTTCACTCATTTCTTATAGTATTTGTTCACACGATCACTCCTCTGTCCACTCACAAAAGGTCATTTACCTACTGGGTATGTCAGTGCTTTTCAAAAGTCAGTGTCTTTCCTTGCTTATTTACAGCGATCTCTCAGGCTAGAAGGTAATCGTTCTGCGTGCGTTTTAATGTATTATTTGCTTCTGTAACTGAAGGGTAAAGATCACCTTTTATTAGCATTATTCTGATCCTTTGCAAATTACAGGCCTTGCTTCATGACATCTGTGATGCAACTACTGAGGCATGAGCTTCATAGCAATATCTTTCACAGTGTAAAAAATGTTCCTTTCTTGCCTGCGGACTACCATTGAGACAATGGTGTTTGTTACCAAAAATCTTTGGAAAGATCTATCTAATCAGAGACATGCACAGCTAGCTTCTTCAGAGATAGTAATTTGCTACCAACTTTATCAGTGAAATGTAAGAAAGTGAGAAAATAATGCAATAATAAGGAGAATTCCTGAGGTGATTTAAATAATGAGTTGTCTCTTCCCATTATGTAATTCATCTTATTCTTATGTCCCTTTATGCTTGACTTGTTTTAGCTGCAAGTAAAACAGTAAAAAAAATAATTAAACAAAGATAGAAATAGGACGGTGGAAAGATGCTGCTTCATACATTAACATTTGAACATGCAATATGTCGCATAGTGTCTTTCTAATTGATTCCTAAGCCTGACAGATACATTTGCTGTGCTCAGCCAGCTGAACCTACTGTAACAGTAATCTGAAGTCTAGTCAAAGACCTCCAGTGTCTGGCAATGCCTTAAATGTGTGGAGAGTTTATTTAGTTGAAAACGAGGAGGAAGTTCTAGTTAGTCTACTTACCACTTGTGGCTTCATTTGAAAATGGAATAACTGCTTTAAGGACGTTCTAATATAGAACAAAAGTTTCCCTTTTCCTCTTTCTGTCTTACAGTGATTGCAAAGACTGTGTCAATGGAATGGAAAATCTGTTAATTAATAAAATCCTACACACCATTGAAAAGTTAACCAAAAAAAGTGACTAAGTGATGATTTACAGCTGGTGATAGAAGAGCCAGTGGCCTTGTGAATTGAGCATACGCGTCACGTCATTAAATCTTAAAGTTGAAAAATAGGACAGCTTTTAGGTAGAAAGTTAGATATCTGAAAAGCTATACTCACAAATTACCCATACTAAGATTCAATCTTTTCTTTGCAAAGTTTTGCTCCTTCTGTAATTTTACATATTAACTAAGGCTGTAATGTCTAACATTGTTGATTTTGGGACTTTGACTGCCTTAAAGATAAATGAACATAAAAAGGTTTGGTTTGGATGTTTACAACTTAAACATGGTATCCAGAATCTGTGATAGGATTTTGTAGTTGTGGATCTGGCCATAGGGAAGGAAGAGGGGTCAGATAAATGAGCATCTATGTCCCATGCTCCATTGTGCTCTGTTCTCAACACATCAGTTCCAGAGGCTGCTAGAGTTTGAATCTTGCACTCTAGCAGAGTATTTCTTCTGCACAGGCAGAATACTTTCTACACAGCATTTCTCCTGCACCTAACTCTAAGCATTTACAAATGATCAGAAAATAGATTTGTCTTAAAAATCTAACCGTATTAACAATGCCTATAGGTAAAAGTAGACATCAAGGATTTCATATCTCTTCTTTGGTTCAGCCTATTCCCATGGGGTAGTTTGTTATCACATTTTGGCTTCAGCATTTGGTTCTACTTGCTCAGGAAAGAGAGGCTGAAGGCAAAGTAATATTCCAGTGGCAGAATCTTCTGCATCTTCAATTAACATTGAAGCAGAAAAATACCTAGGTCAAGGTTCCTTTAAGCAGGATGATGGAACGCAAGTGATTAAACAACTCTTCATACCTTAGAAGAAAATTTGTTATAAAAAACAAAAGCAAATGGTAAATGATGTGCTTGCTTGTCCCACAGACAACCATTGTCAGTTTTTCATATAGTCAGTTTCTAAATGTTTTTATTCATATTAACCCATTTATTCACTTATATGACAAGACAATTGAACATGATATCATTGGTCAGTACCGCGTAATCATTTTTTATCGCAACTATTTAAAGCAATTTTCAGATGTAACCACGTCTGTATTCAAACTTTTCTGACCTGTGAAATTAGTAATTATCTAATCCGAAGTGAAAACATCTTTCTTTATGGTGTCATTGCTAAGGCCTGCATCGCATATAAAGTTGCCATCAAGTTTCCTCCTCCTTGCTTCATTAGTGCTGACACCCTGGTGTGACTCTACCCATAGTTTGGTTAAGCAAAGCTCCCAAATGAACAGAGTATTCCATAAAGTGGCCTGTCAGTGAACCGAACTGACACAACTAGCATGGCTGGAAAAAGCACAGCCTTCAGCCACTCTGGCTTAGTCTGGCAAAAACTGAGCTGCTTGTCCTCTACCCAGCATTCATCCTTCTTCCCCTCTTCTCTGTTACCCTTGACAACTCCGCATCCTTGCTCTGCTACAGGCTCTGAATTGATCTGTGACTCCTCTCTGTATCTTTTGCCCATAGTAGACCTCTGTCTCTACAATATCTTCATAATCTGTCCATTTCTCTCTATTTTCTTTGCTTAAACCCTTATCCAGCTTTCGTCATATCTCAGCTACATTGCTTCCAAAGTTATCTAGCTTTTCTACGCTCTATGTCCAGCCTCTCTTCATAGTCTCTCCCCTTGTCTTCAAGTCCCTAACCCACTTAGCTCCTATCTAGCTCTCTGTTGTTGCCTCTTTGCACTCTCCACTTTGTCCCATTGTTTCTGACCAAGCGGCGTGCTACTATTGCCCAACATATCCCTATATTTAACCCTGCCTTCCTGACTGTCCACTATAATTCTGTCCTCTACTCTTTCAGTTCTTTCACACCTCTTCCAGGAAGCGTTTAAACTCTTGTTCCCTCTTCCCTTCCCAGCAGTGCAAACAAAACAAAGAAGTGAACAAACAAATCATCCACTGTACTTTGCTAGTCATTTTCTTTTGTTACATCATCTCCCCAATTCTTCATCATTACATTGCTCACTGAGATTGTGAAATCTTCTGGGCAGAGACCTTGTCTCCTCATTTCTCTGTATACACCTATCATACTTTTGATACAATATAAATAAAATTGTAATAATAATAAATTATTTACATTTTAATCTATATAGTGTAGGATTTGAAGAAATAACAATGGGTATTATAATGCCATTATATTCCATGTACATTTATTTAGTTCTAGCACAGTTATTTCTCATGCCCATTACTTTATCGTTGAATAGGATCTTATTTTCTTACAGACCATGTATGCAACCAGCCCATATTCTGATCCTGTTGTGTCAATGGATCTCGATCCCCAGCCAATTACAGATGAAGAAGAAGGCTTGATTTGGGTTGTAGGACCAGTTCTCGCAGTGGTGTTTATCATCTGCATTGTTATAGCTATACTTCTTTATAAAAGGTAAGTTTACCAAATAGTTCTTTTTAAACTAAGGTGACTTTTAGATATTTTGACCATTTTAAGATACAGTGGGATCAGATAAAAAGTTGTTGTGCCATACTCTATATATTAGATGTCATCCTGTGGATTCTTGCTATATTTTTTAAAGAAATTTTGTTTAGTTTGTATAGAACTGAAAAGTTACTTTGAGTTTTCCCTATAGTTATAGTGATTTGGTTTCACTCTTTTGCTGATGACACTGTATTGCAATTTGGGGTATTAAAAATGTTTTTGTATTTTACGTATATATGTACATTAGTGTATGTGTACACGTGTATCCATATAATCATTTCACTTTTTTTACTTATCTATTTAATATTGTAATGGTAATACGTTATAGGTTACATTCAGTCCTGGTGTGAACAGACACAATTCTCATCTCCCTAAAAGTAACTGGAGTTGTGCCTCCTGAAATCAGGCCTCAGTTTGGCCATGTATGTACATGCATTCCTGTACCCCAGGATTAACAAAATATCAGTAATCATTTGCTACTAACACTGGAATCTGATCATAAACTTGAGGAGTCATTTGCTGACTCTTTTTTCATCCTGTATGTTTAAGGTGACCAGATGGCCCATTTTTAAAGGGACAGTCCCTTTTTTGGGGACTTTTTCTTATATAGGCGCCTATTACCCCGCACCCCATCCCGTTTTTTCACAGTTGCTATCTGGTCACCCTGTGTATGTTACATCACGCTGCACAAGACACAGATCTAGGTTTTGCCATTATTTGAGAGTCAGATTCTCCACTGCCTTATACCTTGTTCAGTCATTTACACCTATGCAAAGTGCAGGCAAAGTCTGCGTACAGTACTATCATTTAAGCTTCCTAGCCTTTTACACCTACTTTTCACAAATGTCAATGACTACACAATGTGCAAGGTGGAGAAGAGGAATACCCAAGATGGTCAGAAGCCCAGATTCAAAGTTTTACTGTTTGATTTTTTTCTTTACCCAAAACAGTTTTGAAAGTATATCGGTAATGTATAATTGTTAGCGTCTGAGCCATCATTAAGCCTCAAATATGTCTGACTAAAACTACCCATGAAAATCTGAGGAAGCAGTAAAGATGTGGGGATGTATTTTTTTTAAATACTCTACATTTAATTAAATTATTTTCTGCGAAGCAATCGGATTGTAACTGTACCTATTCTGATGAAGAAAAAAAATCTTCATAAGCCTCAAACGTCCTGGATTTCCCCCCCTCCCCAAATGTCTGCAGTCTAAAACAGCTGAAGATGGATGCAGAGGCCTTCAGGTTTCTGAAAGAGAAATACTGTGTTCAGCGTAAAGAACAGTCCTGAGGCAACCTCTGTTTTGGAATCCAAACAGACATATATTTATAAAGATGCCCTTTAGGATCATAATCATATAGCAGCACAGAAATCATTCTGTTTCTTGCAGATGTTATGCCTCATGAATGTTTCTGTTAGTACCTACCGTCTGAGCCAATCTAATTGTGAGCCCCTCCTTGTGGCTATCAGTCATTATAAAATCTGGTAATTGGAAACAGGCTGGAAGTGAAATACTCAATTCTTGTCACTACTTCGGTTATCTCTAATACAATACCTTCAAAGCTACTAAAATAAAAACCAAAACAAATCCCGTCAAAATATAAGGCAGATCCATACCTACCCTGGGAATATTGATTATACCCATAATTACGTCCTTCACGGTGTGTTGCCAAAAAGCTCTAGAGGTACACCACATGAGCAGGTAAAAATTTCTTGGTCAAGAGTGCAAAGGGAATCCCATATGCAGACTATAGAAGGCACATTTTGCATCTTTTATTTGCTAGTAGCACTAGAGATGTTTGGGAGGATACCCATCTATATTTTTTAGAGTTCAAGGAATTGTCTACATATAATTATGTACCAGTTTAACAAAATTAATATGAGATATTGCCACGTTTAAATTGGTGTAACTCCCTATTGTGGATGGAGCTGTATCAATATATAAGTGTTTATCTCAGCTTGTTTCTGTGAATTTGCAGGTGCAGGTTAAACTGATACAAGCCAGGTTTAAACTGATGTAAGAGTGCCCCCGGACAAAATTGCACCAGTTTAGCAAAATCAGTATAAAATCATAACTTTAGTCATATTGGTTCAATTCTGTGCATAGACTTGGCCTAATAAGGGAAGTTATCAGATGATGCAGAAAGGATGATGTGGAATGCTCACTGTTAACAAAGTAGGAGCTTCATTCACTTGTGGGATTCTGCTTGCAGACACTGATGCATCAGATGCTTTTTGGTAGAGTAATGTATAAATGCTTATCTAGATGAACAGGCAGAACTGAGGTTGAGGGTCCCAATTAGGGGGGGGGGAGTGTGACCAAAGGGGGCTTAATGGACACAAAACGCTCACATCCCTTGCTTCACTGAAAGGGACTGGATCCATTTTTTGGCATGAGTAGCTGCCAGCTCACCAGAGACAAAGTTAGATAGGTTATCCCAAACAGATGCCAATCAAACTCCTTTATATCAAACCAACATATATTCTCGGCATTTTTGACAGTTTTTCCCAAAAAACATTTTAGAAATGTGTTAAGAGTTTTAAAACATTTTTATTGGAGTTTTGTTCCATATCCTTTTGCTTGTTAAAACAGGCTGTCTGGCTTTGTAGCCCTGGGCCAAATTCAGAGGTAGTGAATAAGGATTGTGTACGTTACATTTACAACCATTTACAGACATATAAAGTAATATAAACTGGGTTTGAGCTAGATCAAGAGGTAAATTAAATTAGGATATGACATTTGTGTGGATATATTGGATGTATTAAAAAAAAAGGAATATATGCATGGGTATTCTTTTATAAGGTGCTTTGAACCTATTCAAAACATGGAAGAATTTATAAATACGTTGATGAACAAAAAGAGCCCAGTGACTTTGATATCTGTAAGGAAGAACATATAAGATATCATTTAGTAGTTGGGATGTTAAGGAACTTTCAGAAAAAAAACACAGTTAATGTCTGAGCTAACCCTGGAACAGGGAGTAGAACTGTCTCAGAAGTCTGAAACAGTAAAAATCCATATTACCCAGTAAAAAAGTAGCAAACCAAAAATGATTATGGCAAAAAGGGAAGCAGTATTGTGGGGGGGGGGAAAGTGTGGGGATATAGGCACCATGTCTGTTGAAGGAAAGGAACCAAGGAGGTATTTTAAACAGGGGTGAGTCTTACCTCTTTTCTAGGATTTTTGATCAGAGACAGCTTTATGAACAGACATGGACTGCCAATTTCAACATTACTGTTATTAAATTTTAATATGATGTAGGGGCAGTGGTGACTGATTTATAAAAGGACGTTTAAAGCGATGAGCCCTAGCCCTCAGTTGGAGGAGGCCTGGGTAGTGTAGATAAGTGGCCTGGGTCAAGCTTTTACTACCTACAAAGGCAAGGAGTATGTGTCTGATACCTTTGTTATTTGTGAGGCTGTTGCAAATAGCTTTCCAGATTGAACCAAAGCCACTGAGATGGGCCTCATATAACATAAAGAGGAATGTGACAGTGTTTGTCATAAGTGGCGTGCTGAAAGGATGTGAGGCTGAGAGATGCCAAATCTGAGAGATTTTAGGCTTTCTTCTTCAGCCGTGAGAGTGCAGGCCAAATGTCATCCAATCTTAAATCAAGAGGATTAGTACTTCTAAAAATGAATGGGAAAAATATTGGACCACACCCTCTGTCACTGAACATAGTTGCATTCTGAGAGCCTTCATGATTAAGACTGATCGAGGTACTCAGTATAGAAGTAAGAGTTTTTTGTCCTAAATTGGTTGTAAACCCAGCTGAATTATGATGTGATAAGCAGTGGTACTCACTGCACACCCTTAGGGCTGGTCTACACTGGGGGGGGGGGGATCGATCCAAGATACGCAACTTCAGCTACGCGAATAGCGTAGCTGAAGTCGAAGTATCTTGGATCGAATTACCTGGGGTCCAGACGGCGTGGGATCGACGGCCGCGGCTCCCCCGTCGACTGCGCTACCGCCGCTCGCTCTGGTGGAGTTCCGGAGTCGACGGTGAGTGCGTTTGGGGATCGATATATCGCGTCTTAACGAGACGCGATATATCGATCCCGGATAAATCGATTGCTACCCGCCGATACGGCGGGTAGTGAAGACGTACCCTTAATGAAGGGAGAGAATCATACTGAGAAAGGTTCCTTAAACATTCTGAACAGACGTTCCCATCTTTAGGATTTGGTAGTCTAAGTGAACTAACTGGGCAAAACTCTTTTTTTCCCTTGCTTTTCTTGCTATACTCTTGCCCTCAAGAAAACTGTTTTTTGTTGATTCAGACAAAAGAGAAGCTAGTAATATATACTCAGAGAAAATCAGAACTGTATCCAAAATTTCCAAAGAATTCTATATATTTAATTAACATGACAACATGAAGATAAAAATCATACTAGTCGATTTTATTTGGCCTCTGTGTGTGTTGCATCATCTTAGATTCTCTTATTCGCCATTAGCTATATTTTGTGTCCGTTAAGCCCCTTTTGGTCTCACACACACACACACACACACACACCCGTTGTTAAATTCATTGTTAAATTCAGTGTGAATTTCAGCAATTAATGTAGGGGAATCTGGGAGAAACTAAATTGATGAAACATACATTTATGGGTGGAAGGGGTAATTATACAACTTTAAACTCTCCTTATACTCATTCATAGCCATACCACAGCCCATCTTGTGCAACAACACAGGGCAGTACAGGAGCATAAGGCACCCCCTTACCTCAGTGAGTCAGCTACCCACATAAGTGAGGAAGGGGAAGCATCCTTCACGCTCCCAATCCTGTGCAGGTGGACAGAGAATGGAGTCTTGGCTTTGCCTCCAGCAATGCACCAAGCAGCATAGCTCTGCCAGAGCACCGGAGGAGAAACATTGCATCAGGTGTAGGGCTGGTACAAAGTACGTCTCCCCCAGAACAGGAGGATAACTGATGGGCAGACTGCA